GTTATGTTCAACAGTTGGTTGAAAACCAGTCTGTCCCCATTTTAATCAACCACTTAGCAACGTAGCCATACACTTTTTACATTCTTTAACCTGATAAACTCAAATTATTCTGGTTTAGAATTCCATTGAAACGGAGTGCAGAGTCATTTTACAGATGCCATTTTTTAATATTGTCTAATTTAAAAGGAAAATATTTCACATAATAACAACGTTTTTGAGGGGGAAAAAAAAGCATGAAAACCATTTCTGTTCCAAAAATTGCTGATATGAGAACTTATGGGAAACAGCTCCTTTTATGAATAATTATTATTATTGTGTTTAAGAAATGGGCAAGATGCCTAGAAATTGAATGAAAGAATGAGCTATTAAATTGAAATATTAAATGAAATAACTGAATTAAAAGTGATCATGTAAACCTTGCAGTAAATGTTGGGAGTGTAGCTGATTGAACATATTTTCATCATCTGTTTTGTATGCTTAAATACAATTGCTTGATGTAAGTAAACACTTGATTGATATTCTGAATACTTTAAAATCTGCATATGCATCACAGAATACTGAACAATTAAAACTTAATTTCAGTGTAGTTTGATTACATGTAAATTATTTCAATATTCATTTTTTTCCTGTTCTGTTTGCTCAGTGCATATTTAATACTCACTTTTTGAATGCATATCACCCTTGATTGGACTGTGAGATGAGGAGGACTCTGAAATTTCTTCCATTAAAAAGGATTGCCTTATAAATATTATTTGTGCCACAGCTCTTCCCCTGCAGATTATTTTCTAAATGTTGTGTACCCTTATTGAAGACAAGGGAAAAAACTGCTGCAGCCCTCCTTTATCAGCCCAGCACAAGGAATATGCTTACATGGTTGATGGGCATGTCTAAGAAGGCTTGTTGGTTGTAACCAGTCCCTAAAGAAATGTTTCCATCTTTTCTGCACTATATTTCTTTCTTGCTTGCATGAACTCTCTCTCCCTTCCCTTCCTCCTCCCTCCACATGATTTTTTTTTTCTCGTTCCTGAACTTCTTATGACATTTTTTAATATTATGAGTAAATATTACAAATATTTTCAAGTTGGCCATTTTCAGCCTGAATAGTATATCTCTACCTTTAGGTGACCACATTCAATTTTGCTGTTGTGGAACACAGATGACAAAAGTCTGCCTTTTGATATATTTGTAGAACCTCTCATATAAACTGAAGAGACTTCTTTTCCCTTTTCCGTGGGCTGCAATCCATGCACATTATTTCGATCTACAGTATTTTAAATCACCTTATTTCTGAACATCCACCAAGAGGAAACCCTGGGCATTTGATTCTCTTTTTATTTATGCCAATGAAAAGAACAGCCTCTCTGAAGTTAATAAATAACATTATATTGTTGTATTACTTACATATTTTATTTAAAAATAAAATGCTTTCCTGGCATCTTTTCAGTTGTTATATTTTCAAAATACAAGCAGCAACAGGTCTGCCAGTCCACCATGGAAGGCAGGTTTGGATTCTTCTCTGCCTCGACCATTTTTGACCTTTTGACCTGCATGACCCTTGTCGTATCACTCACATTTCCCCTTTGTTTCCTTGTCCATACAACAGACATACTAATAGTTATCTTTTTTACATTTTTGTAGAATAGTTGTAGAAAGGTTGCATAAGTGCATATAATAAGTATTATTTTATTATATGAGAATTTGAACTTAATATTGTATGTGCTAAACAGCTTTCAGGGAAGTGTTTTCCTGTCTATCCTATATAGTTAATCACAGTTTGAGAGTTTTAATCTTGAAGGTCATATTTCTGTTGGCTGTCACTTTGACCAAACAAGTGGCTGAACTTCATGGTTTACAGGCAGATTTCCTTATCTCTCTTTTTCAAGAGACATATAAGTCTTGATTGCTGGAGTTATTATAAAGCAAGGAATAATAACAAGGTGGAGGGAGGGATGGGAAGACACTTCAAGACAAATACCCTGTAGATGCCATTTTAGAAAGCAAATATTGTACCTTCTTGTAGCACAAGAACAAAAGGGGTTTGTTTGTTTGTTTGTTTGAGGAGCTGATAAAATATACATGTGCTAGTAATAGCAAGAGGTCTTCCCACAACAAAACATGCTTATAAAACACATTGAGCTTGAGGTCAGTCTCATGCTGCACAGAAATCTCTCTGATTGTTCCTGTAGAATAAAAACATCACAACTTCCATGCCAAAGAGACTCAAAATAACAAGTATCTTCTTTTAAAGCTAGTTTTAAAAGACCTGGACATTCTTGACTGATTTAATACTGTTTGCCTAAGTAATGCAAACTTGTCATTCCTGTTTGAAACCTTCACCTTATTTTAACTCAATTCCATTTATAATAATTTATGAAGTATCTGTGTTATTTCCAGCTCTCTTGGTTTGTGAAGAGCATTTCTTGGATAGTCTTTTTTTCCCCCTTTTTTTTTTCTCAGTACAGATCTGAAAAGAATGAGCTAACTTCACAGTTTTATGAATAGGGTTCATAAGACCAAAGTTTAATGTTGATTAAAGGAAAAAAAATTGAAGTCTTTGTGAAACAGCAAAGAAATGACAGCTTTAAGGCCATGATTCCATTGTGCAGGTCAATCAAATGAAAAAGTTACTTTATATTTTTTGGTTGCAAGCTAAAGCAAATGTCTGTATAGTTATAACTTTGGAAAAACAAAATAATGATGCAGACATTCTTTTTAGCTCGTCATATTAGGCAGTTTCTGTTTGGCTTCCAATTTCCCCTCAAAGTACTAAGAATAGATATTTAATCCATAATTGAAAAGAAAAATGTGTCAGGAAAAGATATATATGGTAACTATTCAAGATACATGTATTTTAACATGTACTCATTTGTCTAAATTAAAGCATAGCTTCAGAAGTGACATGACAAAACAATGTACTTTAATGGAAAATCCTTCATAGAAAGCACGTTGAAAAGCTTCAGATACATAGATGTGCATGATAAAATGATGGTGCACTGCTTGTTCTCCAGTGATCAAGAGGTTAACCTTAATTCATCTTTTCCCCTCCCTTAAACAGGTTCTGTGAGGAGGGCTGCAAATTAGTGCCTGGAAGACACAGCAAGGAGATTAGCTTTAGGGAGGAAAGGACTCCCCACTCCCAACGCCTAGGAACCTCACCTGGAGAGTGCATTTTCTTTTCTACTTAAGCTAACGTATTATACCTTCTTGTCATGAGTGTTATTCCTTGAGGAAGGTCCTCTCCGGCTCTATCTTGCAATCTGCTTAATCATTCTAAGTGTGTGGTAGAAGAGAAAAGAGCAATCAGGCCATACAAGATGGAGCCAGAAAAACACTTAGGCTTTGGCCAGAAACAGGTGTCCCAGTATGGTACATCATATGGGACTCCTTCACTCACCAATGGGAAGAAGGGTTCCAGTGTTTCCTCTTGTTCACACTGGCCTGAGGAAGAGCTACAGCATTGCCCGTTGTTTCCTAAGATACCCACAAGGTATACAACATAAATACTGGCATCCATATGATGCTGTCTGATGATATTCATTGGGCAAACACAAACTACACGTTACTAACACTGAGAAATCACAATGCTGCTTTTTCCCCACGGGGGCAAAGAAGACATCTTTGCAAACTTCAAGCATCTACAACTGATCTATTGTTGAAATTAACAGGTGAAATGAGGGAAACTTTACCAGTAATGAGAAAAATACAGAAATTATTCTATAGGGAATCAATCTTTTGCTTCACAAACTGAAATAAAATTGAGGTATTTTGTTGGTTTGCATATCCAAAACTATCATCAAAACTATTTTTAAACAGCTTAAAACATGCAGTAGAAGAAAATGTGTACAAATAGAATCACTTTTTCACAGTACAGAGTGATCGTCAGAGAGTAATTTTCTATATCTAGTATAAAAGAGGCATTAGCCCAATGCAGAATTTCCCATTGTGATTAGCCTTTGCCAGTGCAATGTTGTATATATTCTGAGGAAGCTTGTGATGGATGGCTTGTTTCCTCTAGCTTCTGTGGAATTCCCAAGGATTGCAAACAAGGGGATATATACAGCTTTCCACAGTATCTCCATCACAGGTAGGTATTTGCTGTAATTGCCAGGAGATGATGGTCTATGGTTTCTGGGTGGGAAGAAGGGTCGGTGTCATTCATTACAAATGGAAAGAGTTGTTGCTCAGCAAGCCCTCGAACCCACCAGAGTAATGATCTCAGTATGCCATGATACAGCCCTCCTGGGTTAACAGTAAAGGTGAAGTTCCACGTCTACACTGCTCCTTTCCTACTCCACTCTGTCACTCTATCTCTAGGTGATACTCAGGTGGCGCCTTCTAGAGCACATTTAGAGGTAATCTTTGTGAATTTTGCCCCTTTTCTCCTTGTTTTGCATCATTGACACAACCGTCCTCACCATAGGATCTTCAGAAAACTCTCAAGATTCTGTGCCACTACTGTGCTGAGGGAGTTAGGAGGCAAAGCAGTGTCACCCCTTACCTTTTTTAGTCCCTGGGGATTCGTGACTGTTTAGCATGACTCGACTGGATTATCATCTTCAGAGAGCTGTACTGAAGGGTTTGTGAGGACAAAACTCTGCCAACTTCTACAAGGACCTCTGAAGTCTTGTGAGACTGGGGATTAGTCTTTTCTGCAGGGGACTTTGAGGTTCCTAACAATGTTCTTGGGGCTAGCATTCATCTATGTTGTGGCTGGTATCTTTCAAATGATAAATTTGTTATGGCCTACAGTACCTTCACCTCCTTCAATTAGTTCAGCTGGATCTGATGGGACTCAACACTGAACATAACACTTGATGAAGAAGGTTATGAGTAGTCACTGTCCTGCCTCATAGTTCTGCAGTCTGAGTGTATCAAGCTTCCCTAATAAAACCTTGGCAGCACTTTTGATGAGAACTGAAAGACTTCATCTGGCCATTAACAAAACCTGATGCAGCTCTTAAATTATTCTCTGCAAGTGACATGTTTCCTTTTTCTTGCAGGTATCAGAGATTTGAAAAAGCATTTCTTCTAGCTGTTGACATAGGTGCTCGGGACCTGTTCATGGTGAGTCATTTCTGGAGACAGAGGTTGTTATCAGGATGTCACCTGTCAGCTTTTGTCCACATTAAAATGGATCCGTGTCATTTGGAGTCTTAGACACATACTGAAAACAGAACTATTCTACCTGGTTTGCCCTTTGCCATCACAAAACTCATCAGTAGGAGTTGAGTATCTTTAGAGTCATTGACATTTTCCCTAGCATGGCCTAAAGGCTATTCTTTATTTTCCGGGAATTAATGTATATCTTTTTGAACTTTCCCCTTCTTCATCTGTCCTGATGTGGGTGAATGTCATTTTTCACTCTAATAAGCTTATATATTTCTAATCCATTCCTTTAAGAAGTACAACTGCTGAGTCCGGGACACAAGAGCTGGCCATATCCTGGGGATCCTGAATGCTCTTAGTTTGTCTCTTAGGGTTTTGTGAAAAGTGACAAATTATGAACGCTTCTACAGGTACTTTTAAAACAACAAAGCTCAGCAGCATCAACACAAGGGTTTTTACATTTCATGCACTCTCTGCCCCCTCCCATTTAATTAGCTACAAAAGTAAAATTAACCAGCTCTTAAAAGGTCCTCTGTGTGAGCTCTGCAGGAGGCTCTTGTTTTATAAGATCTTGCACCACAATGTCACAGTGAGGTCAGATGGACAAAGCCAATCGTGCTTTCCTAGTCTCTCAGCATGTTGCTGCTCCACAGCTGATTTCATTGTTTTCAAAGAAACAATAGAAGAGGGGCTTGTTGAAAAAAAGGCCCTTTGAACGATTCGTTTGCTTGACTCTTTTGCATAATGAAGACATTCTGTTGTTTAAATTAAGCTTTGACACTAGATGTTAATATCATTTATCCCATTAAGTCACTTGCCCTGCTAGTTCAATCTTGATATTTAAATTGTATGTTAAATTACACAATTAAATCCTGCTTTTATGGGTTATGAAAATTCCCTTCTAATTATATAAAAAGTTGTGTGAACCTTTTGATGTTTTTTTCACAGCTCTAATCATCTGGCTTGTTCCATCTAATTAGAAAGATGTGAATACTGCGATAAACTTTTCTAAGTATGCATCAAAAGAATGTGGTGGAAATGTCAGACTTTTAGGAAATTCATTACATGTTTTATGTTTACTCTCCTCAATTTTTCCTCTTTTTAGCTCATCTCTTTCCTTTTTTTATGTAATGTAATTTCTTCAGTACAAATTTTATACCTAATCAAGCTAAGCACTGCTGCAGCCCCATATAAGATGTAGGCTTTAACATGTCTGTGGCACGTTACAGCTTTTTGTCAGAGGCTCGCCCACCATACAGATAATAAATTCTCCCTGAGTAATGTCAGCAATTCTGGCAGAACAAATGACCCAGCATTTGGCCTGCCATCTCAAGAGCCCTCTGCCATATGGCTGAGAGTATTTCCTACGTGATCTTTTTCCTTCCCTCCTCTGACAGGAGGACTGAGGGAGCATCTCTGCCGCAGCGTGGGAAACACAAGTGTTGGGTCAAGAGATGGGTCCAAAGCTGCTAACAAGAGAGAGGGACTGTCAGTACCTGGCACCACAAGTAGTAGCATGTCCTCCTTTCAACAAAAAGCTTCTCCAACTTTCTTCAAGAGGAGTTTCTGTGTTCACCGAGAAATGAGCTCCGTCCTTTCCTACTCTTCTTTGTTTTCTCTTTCTTCTCTCAACACCTACTGTCCATTTCTCATCTCACCAATGCTCTTAAACATAAATATATATTTCCACGTAGTTCCTGCTGGCTTACATTACTGTGAGATCAAAACCAGTTATATATTGTCCTTGTTCTGCTTGCATTATCTTTGAGATTCCTCGTAGTTTCCCCTAAATTATGCAATAAGCAGCACATACACCTGCGTCTTCGCATCCTCTGTTAACTCTCTGCCTCTTCTGGGGAAATGTCCTTTTGCTAATTCATCTCCTAAGTAAGGTACTAATGAACAAACTTTACAATAAGTTAACAATGGCACTGCTGCAAGACTACTAAGTACAGGACTCAAGAAGTTTAAAGGTTCACAGGTCATAAAAAGTATTTATTTGTGCCATGGTGATTGCTAAGGAATTGGGCTTCATTGCACTAAATACTGAGAGTTAGATAATCTGTTCCCTGGAAGCTTACAGTCCTCCTAGGTATTAGTATAACAATACTATTGCTAAGCAAGGTTTGTGCATCCTTCACTTCTGCTTAACACTGAATCATTTGTATATATTGTTTATATAGGTCAAAATGCAATTAATAACATACAACTTGACTTTACCTGTATTTAAAGCATTTTTAATTGTGTGCAGTATGAATAACTAATATATCGGTCAATTATTTGTACTGTTGTTTTACAGACCAACAAATCCATTTATACAACCTCAGATGGCTCTAGGAGTCATGCCACCTTATTCCTAGTCAATTTAATGGGATTTCAGAAAGAAATAGTAGACTAAAGAAAGATACCTGATGACATAAGCAAAATGAGAAAAAAAATATTAAAGGGGAACAGAGAAGAATAAAAAAGGAAAGGATAGAGAGGAGCAGATACAGCAGAGGCAGAGGAGGATCCAAATGTTGAATACCCATCTTCTGAGACTTCTAAGGAAATGTCATGTGTCTTGGAGAATTTATCCTGAGCATCAATTTCACCAAACAGGGCTCTGCAGCAATCCTGTTATTTGTTTTGAGATTGCAAAGAAGTTTAGAGAATGCTATATGAGAGCTAATTTTTTTCATAGAAAAAAAAAAAAAAAAAGGCTTAAAAGTTAGTCCTGTAGCTATAGCGTCACTAGTATGATGCCATAGCAAGACATAATATGCACTGCTGTGTCTCTTCATAAGCTTTACCCTCACGTCACATCTAAGTCCATCAATTATTATCATCTCCTACAAAGTTCAATAAAAAATAAAACTGAAAAGGACATAATATCATGAACAACAGCTACATTTATTGGACAGTGACTGATCCAATCTGTGACAGAAAAGATCAAGCAATAGAAGGGTTGTTAGCTTGAAATCCTTTTGTAGTATGCTCCAGCTCTCAGCTGCTGAAAATTCAAAAGGCCATCCCACGTACCAAAGGTAGAAAAAAAATGCAAGGAAAAGACACTTTAATAAAACTGTCAGATCTTGGGTGATACACTGATGAGGAAAGTGCATGTTTCGAAGAAACGTTGGAATTTTGCCCAGAAATATCCTGTAGACAAATGCGCATCAGTGTTTCAAATGACTTCTGCTCACCAAGGGCCAGCTCTGTGAGTCACAAAGATGAGGGTAAAAAGGAAGTAGTCCAAAAAGTAATCAAACTGTTAAATGATAAAATACAGCCCTTTCAGCAAACTCCCGATAAGCAGCTGGAAATTGTTTTTATTGTCACCATTGTTTTTGAAAGTTACACGTGATCTTTGGACTGATAAATTCATAGATAATTGTGTGAATAAATCTGTAATGAATATTCAGCTAATTTAATTATTTTTTTTCTGTCATTCTTTAAGGCAACCTCTAATCCAGTGTTTCTTCTTTCTCTTTTATTTATTTTCTAGTTTTATTCTTCTCAGAGAGTTATAAATTTTTAGAAAATCCAATTTTGCTGGGTTATTTGAATAAGGAACACCTAAATTTGATCTGAAATTGTGTAATTAGGAGTTTTTATATATGTAATCTTTTCTTTCTAAAGCTTATTTAGAGATAGAGAGAAGAGCTACTCTTTTTTTAAAATTATTTATTTATTTTTATTATTTTTAATTCTTTATGACAGCAACTTGAGGAACCACGATGAAAGCCACTTATCAGCCTACTGCTATATCTTTATTTCTTCCAAAGCTCCTGTTAGGGATGGATACGTAGCATCTTTACATTTCTCTACTCAAAACAGAAAATGCGGGCAAAAACAAGACCTGAAAGTAACAGATGTTTTGATACACACAGCATGTACAGCCTCTTAACTGAAAGAACCTTGCCATTTTCTGCAGTTGTTTCCATCCCCTCACCAAGTTTATTATTTAAAATTGCATTGAAGGGTACAATGCTTCTCTTAAACTACAAGACAGTCATTAAGCATAGTCAGAATGCATCTTAAATTATCAAACACAATCTGCCTATACATTCAAATCTTTGTAAGTTCAGACTTGTTCAAGAGCCCTTAGGTTTTCTATTGTTATCTAAATAAGCTGACAATATCTACTGAAATAAGCTGACAATATCTACTGTTTAATCTTCATAGAAATCATACCTTGCTACTCAGGCCCTTTTTCTCCTGACAACCATGTTAGACCTACAGAGAGAGGAAGTCCAGAGTTTGCAACAAGTTCCTAACTCGTTACTTTGCTCCAAGACACTGGCACATTTTTTAAGTCACACCTGTGTTTGTAATTACAAGATGTTGCCATCTCCTGCAGACTGTTTGGATTTTCCAAGTCAATACCAGGTTTTCTTGCCTAACAGTCTCAGTTTTGCTAACGTTCTCAGTTTGCTTATTTTAAAAATGTTTTATTTAAATGAATGGATAATAAAAGCAGCATCTTTTTCTCCTAACACTTATTACTTTCACTTTTAAAATATAACTTCTCTTTCTAGAAGAAGGTCACTTTTTCCTGTAAGAGCTTCTGTCATATTGATGAAAGTGGCGGTAAATTCACACCTGAAATCTTCTGCATTAATGAGACTATAGTTGCTTTTATGGTATGCAGAGGTCAATATTTCCAGCAAATACTCCTTTCCTTTTTAAATTCCTTCATGCAGATAGATTGCAGAACAATGGCCAAGAATTACTTAAATCTTTGGATATTGGCATCTTCAGCAAAGAAATGGAGAAAAAAAAACTTTGCCAACTATTCTTGGGTTTCCCTCACTTCATATGTCTCAGTTCATGCACAGAGCAGCCTGTGGCCATGACACCAAAGGAGAAGGGGGTTAATTGTCCTTTATTAATGGTCAAGGATGAAACTTTACTTCAAGGGCCAAATCCAAGGCCAGTGAAGCTGTAATTTGTCAGCGAGAATACATTCTCCCACAAATTGTGCTGTGTGTAGTATGGGTAGTTTCCACCTCAAAGGTTAACTCACAATAAAAATCCTTGCAATTCAGCATGTAATGATACACCTCTGCTGTAGCCCTCTGATTTTTAACCCTAGATTAAGGACTAGAGCCAGAGTATCCGCAACTCTTCATGCTAGGCAACAGCATTTTTGGAAAGCCCCTTGTGGTCCAAGAGTGACTCAGGGATCATGTAACCTCTGTGGGTGTTAAAACCACTGAGCAACTGCTGTTGTTCTTATTACTTCCACTACCATCACAAGGAGGACCACCATCACTTTACTCCAAGAACAGTAAGTGTAGCGTGACAACCTCCAAACAAAAACTAGTCCCAGAAGATCTTTACCCCAAAACTCCTGTACTAGGTGGAAACCTTAGCACACTTCAAATAGGTGCTGTCAGCCAGAAGACTTCCTGTACTTCAGATCTGGTTAACACAGAGCCACCACCTATCAACCCTCTTTTTATTCATGTTACACCAACAGAAGTTACCTTAAAAGCAGACAGATTGGTTTCTTTCATACACTGAGTCAATGGCTTCACTTTTATCAGCGTATGATTGGTCAGTGTTTTATTCATTGCTGTATTCAACAGCACAAGTAAGATAATACATTTGCATTGGGAGGGAATTAAAATGTAATGGTAAGTTCATCAGTTCCATCTGTGTTTGTGATCTAAATAATAAAAGAGCCTCTTTCTTTCAAAATCCCTTTTGTTACCTGTATGAGATTCATTTTAGATTAATCTTTTTTTTTTTTTTTTCTCTTTTATTTCCAAAGGACATCCATTACCTTGCACTAGATAAGGGTGAATTGGCACTAGCTGAAGTGGCAAAGGAAAAGGCTAATGACATTGATGCAGAATCAATAACTACTAGAATTGGTAAGAATTAATGGTATTTAAAAAGCCCTTTTTGTTTTAATCAATACTTGTCCTGTACAACACCGTGTTGTATTTGTAAGGGGGTTATTGTTTCGATTGTGTTAATTCTTTGAAAGCGAGACAGTATTTTTATTCATAACTAAAGAGAGAGGCTTATAAAAACATAGCTTTGCCTTTCAGTACCCACGTGAGGATTGTGTCAATGCAATAGTTACAAAGCAAAAGGAATTATACTATGGCTATGTAGAAAAGTTAAGACTATACAGACTGAGCTGAGTGCAAGAGGTAAGGGACTGAATCTGAAAATCTTTGTTCCCACCAATGTTAAAGGCCAGGTATGGCAATCTCATTCACTTCTAAATATTTGCTTGTGCACACTGTGCCAATAGTTGGAGTCACATCCCGAATGCTTTGGCAGCATTTGGATGAAACCTTTACTGATGTGAACAGAGGCTCAGATCCTGGATTTAAAGTAACAGCAGTGGGATTCTTGCTGTTCATAAGGAATATTGATGCATAAATTGCAGGGTTGGAGTGATAGCTCAAACACAGACCACTTTTCAGGCATGGAAACTCATAGCTCATTCACTTTCTCCTTGTGTTTCCTCTGAATTGTCATGAAGAGATGTATTCAAATATGTAGACCATTCTGATTTTGGGCCTATAGCACAAACCAAGAAGAAGGGGTCTAAGTCCAGGTAGCTGACTTTCAGCAGAGGAAAGGTAGACAAAAAGGGAGAAAAAAATCAAGCATCTCCTGAACTCTTTTCTTCAGAGTCTTTCATTTTCAAGTTTAAGTCACTTTGAGCGTTTCTTACACCATAACTGGACTTTTGGGCGAGCCCTTTCACCATTAGAATTGTCAAAATTTACATTTGTTTAGGTCATCTGTTACTGGGCACTCTTTAAAGTGTACAGTTACATCTCCCTTGCTTTCTCTTCTCTGACTTCTTAGGTAGTTGTCCTCTGCACCTAATATAACTAAGATACCAAGGACTTGTATCTGTTCATTATCTATTCTCTTACACTCAATCCAGAAAATTTAAACCTTAATCTGTGTCTTCATTTAATTCCTTGAAAACTAGTGCTATTACTAGATTTCTGCAGTTAGGCAATTTTTAAGTTTACTGAGAGCTTTATATAGTATTATAGACATATATGCAAATGGAGGAATAGGGAAGAAACCTAAAGTGATCACAAATTTCTTACTTGCAGATCAGATATAATACACATTACTACAGTTATAAATGTGCAGGCACACAGTCTTCCCCTCCTTCAGAGCAGCCCTACAGTTACCTCTGTAATGACCCATAAGCATAAATTATTAAAGTAGTTTTATATGATAAAGTCTTTAAAATGTTCTCATTTGCTGAATAATTAATTATCAGAATGATTTAAAGTACTTTTCAATGCCTCTGGGACAAACTGTCACTGAGATTCAGTCTATAAACGGTAATGAATTTGCATCCATTTCATTTTATATGAAAATAAACAGGAATCTCCCATGAGTTCGTTTCACTGCAGATTGGATCTCATCTTAAACATGTGAAATCTCAGCCACAGGTTTTGTTTTATTATACTTTAATTCAAAGCCCTTTCTTGATAATGTTTTTATTTCGTAAACTGTTGTTAGCAAAAAAGGTGTTAAGAGTCATGAACTTTGTGGACTCAGTGAAAACAAAAGATAACAAGTGCTTTATATGTAAAATACTATATTTATCTAATATTTTGAGAGGGGGATTTAGAGAGCTGGAAGTTTTAAAATGCAGTTTCAAACAAGTCTCTGTCCCCTAACCATCCCCTAAACCCAGTCCTCTTCATCTAGTCCCTGGTCCCGGGGGCTTTCAGCCACTCAGTTCACCAATGGTCACACTTCCCAGATCAAACCTAGATTTTGAGCACCTACTTCAGGCTTCTACAAGAAGGCAGCAACCTACGCAAACAGGCAGCAAGGTGCAATCAGTGCTACTGATCCCAAGTTATACTGAACCCCTCCTTAGATAGTATCTGGCCTCTCTACAGCATATTTCATATGTATGTTGCAGTGTAATATTTGGTTCTTAATAGTACAAATGTGAGCTGTTCTCATATATCAACATCTAATGATGTTTCCTGAGCTAGCCCATCCCCAAAACTCAGCTTAACACTACTTGAAAATAACATGAGTCAGTGCTCCTGGCTGATTCCCAAGCCCTTGAAAATGCTCCATCTTGCCCCAGATATATTTAATTTGTCAAGATATTTTTGTGTACAGGGCTCACTTCAAACATAATATATTTCAAACTCAGACTTTTGGAAAAGTTTCAAGCTCCTACAAATAATGTAGAACTACAATATAATTTCAGCTGAAATTTATAAATGTCATCCAGAGTTCTATAATTGTTAGTAGATTCCTCAGATATATTACATCAAAATTTGTATCAACATAAACTAAAAATAGATTGATTATTTTATACCTTTCTGAATTTTAGCTCTTCTCAGTTCCTCACGTGATTGCAGTTTGCTATACACTGTTTTGAAGAAGCTGCCTTCAAAGCTAAGAATGTCTGGGTACATGTGGTAAAAACACCTGTAGGCCTTCAGAGCATAGTAGTTTGGTGAGAATATTGCGAAGCAAGATGAAGTGTCACGTGAGTTTGCTGCTATTCCCTGCTATGGTTTTGGCAGAATCAGATATTTTGTTCAACTGATTAAAATCTTTTAAGGAAAATTATAAGATTTTACATTTGACAGCTTGTGGAAACGCATCTTGAGGCATGAGAAGATTGAAGTAATGGTACCGTACATCTCAGAAACTGTATTAGCTGTCTTCTCTTTCCTCACTCACATTTGATCCACAGACCTGTGCCCATAGATATTGTAGTTTCCTCTGCCAAAGATTTTCTGTTATTTCTGTAGTAGATCTGCAAGTTCCTTAATGAGGTCAGAGAGTTCTCATTTAGCCTGCCCTAAAATGTGTGCTTGCACCTCGTTTCACTTGATGAAAACAGAGAGGACCTTCCTCGATATTGACTATATTTGTAGGCTACTAATAAATTCTGTTTATGGGTGTAATCTTGCATATACACTCCTGGAACAACATTGTATGTAAAACTCGAGTTGCAAAGAACAGACATGGCACAGCCTGTTAAGAAATGCCATAGCTAATAATAATCACAGAGGTGAAGAACTCAGCCTTTCAGACATCATTGCTCAATGAATATCCGATGAAGAGCATATGTAGTCAGTGTCAGAAAGTTTCCCAAGGCCAACTTCCAACAAATTACATTAGGGCCTGGAAAGATGATTTTAACCTTCAAATCAATAGCTTTTATCCAAAAGGGATTCATGTTATGACAAGACAGATAACTGCTGCATAACTGAAAGGCAACTTGGGAAACCTTGTATTTCTACTTAAAATTAAATTCAGAATATTAGGAACACTAATGTTTAGGAAACATTTCTAACAGAGGTAACTTTGAAACGTTGAGATAATTGCATTGTTCTGAAACGCTAGATGGGACTAACATTGTGGTTGTTCAGTAATGTTTCATAAAAGCACTTGAGGTTTTTCCACTTAAAATAGAATTTTGAAACATGTATGGAAATATTTCATCATGTTTGCAAGTGGAATAGGAAATCTTACAGTTCTTACAGAGACTGAGGTCTAGTTTCCCTCACTGTTCATAAAATGACATTCAAAATGTAGGGGCCCTAAATGTTTCACCTTACTGGCAAGGAATGTCACCAGTTGGAAAAGTGGAGAATTTATTAATTTCTTCTTAGTTTCGTGGTAGTATTTTACACTGAATGGCTTATATGTTCTTAGTGATAATTAAAAACACATGCTGGTGTGTTTTGTCTTCCATACAGTGTGTCTGAGATACCAGTCTGGTCTTGCATACAGTCACTTATAATTTACTCAGTTCTTCCTCTATTCCTAACGGTCCCGGTGATCCTACCTGCATTTCAAGACCATGTTTAGAATTGTCCTCCTGTTTTTGTAACCTTGTCTGGCCATGCATTAGCCTAGTTGATAACATTTGTTCCTCTTCTGATCCATAGTGACTCCTTTCATCTATCAAGTGATAAACTTCTTCTTCATGTGCCCTCTCTGACACCAATGACAAAGCCTTCTTCATTTCCTACTTTTCGTTGGCACACGCATCTTTTCTCTTGCTGTCAAGTTTCAAGTTCATTGAGAATCTTAGCCCTTTATTTCATGGCATGATTTTTATTTCACTGCATAGCATGTTTGTGGCATGCTTAAAAGCTATTACACAAGACGCAGACAAACTGTGATCTGGAAAGACTCGGGGAACACTTGTTTCTGCTACAGTTTTTTTGAGCTCTGCTCCTTTCAGTGTAAGTGTTAGAGCTCCTATTTATTTATTTAGATTTTCAGTTTAAGTCAATCAAGACCTCTGGAATCAAATCCTTTGCTTTTATTTTTTCTAATAATGTGACTTTTTCCCCAGAGAGCCGGAAAACATTTTTAATGAAAAATGGTTTTTAAGTATGATTGACAGTTAACCTATGCTAAGAAATTAGTTTCCACAAGCACTTTTTTAATTTTGTGCCACACAAGATGAATGTCTTTGAAGATCCATGGTAATTTGAAATTATTTAACTGTGCTCACGTGCACACTCTCTTGCACATATCAAGCCACACAGAGCATTTGATACAGAGCCCACTAAGCACAATGAAAAAATTTCTACCATTTTCAGTGGGCTTTGAATGGAGATTTCAGCAAGTAACAAGTTCATGTGTAAGCCTGGCATTAACAGAACTCCTGCCCTCTACAAAAGAAATGACAAAGAACCTTGTCTGGAAGGATGGTCTACTTGATGTAGACTGTTTGAGTCCCCTGGTTTCAAGAGTGGCTAGTGGCATCCAGCACTTGTGTCATGGAAGCCTGTTGCAGCGGTAGTTCTGAGTTCACAGCCTAGCATACCTCCTCACGGGGAGTGTAACAGTATATTCCCAGATAACTAAGTGGATCTGCTGAATCTTTTTCTTT